CATTTGGTCTAATTTAATGTGTGTCTTTTACACAAAAGAGCACAAAAAGCGATTTGCTAACATCACAGAGCAATTCTATAGCAAAGCCATTATTTAACTGTGGTTCCTGCTACCTGGCTGTAAATTCAAATCTGTAAAGCTTTTGTTATGCCTAATATAGAGCAATGACTCCATCAAGGTTTTAATAATATTTGATGAAGGTGTTCTTTTCTCAAATCTGCCTCTATATAACTGTCATAAAACTCGTATTGCTATTAATAATACCTAAGATATAATGGCCAAAGTCTCATATAACTTGATGGGGGAACAAATCTAGGTAGACTCTCTCCTTCACTTAGATGGTAAAAGGTTCTGTTATAATTTTAAACTTTTAAAGTTAGGTTTAGTAAATCTTAAAATTCACATGTCAATTATATCCATTTTTGGAGCAATCTTTCTATTACTCGCTTTTGACCAAATCAAGTGGAATAGCCATTCAGTCTTGGAGAGAAGCTGAGCTGTGCTTCCATTCATTCTTTTTGTTTGTTTGTTTGTTTGTTTGTTTGTGGTACCCGGGCCTCTCACTGTTGTGGCCTCTCCCGCTGCGGAGCACAGGCTCCAGTCACGCAGGCTCAGTGGCTATGGCTCACGGCCCCAGCCGCTCCGCGGCATGCGGGATCCTCCTGGACCAGGGCATGAACCCGTGTCCCCTGCATTGGCAGGCAGACTCTCAACCACTGCGCCACCAGGGAAGCCCCCCATTCATTCTTTTTTAAGACAACAATGAGAAAATACTTGCTCTCTCAGACATAAAAAAAGGAGAGATCTAAGAGTGACTAAAACCACTAATCCTGGTAATAAATTCATCTAGATGCTGCCATTCCAGATATGAAGTTCTCAGCATTTAATTTCTCAAGGCTTCACTCAAAAGTTGATTGGGGCTTCCCTGGTGGCGCAGTGGTTAAGAATCCACCTGCCAATGCAGGGGACACGGGTTCGAGCCCTGGTCCGGGAAGATCCCACATGTCACGGAGCAACTAAGCCCGTGCACCACAACTACTGAAGCGTGCGCGCCTAGAGCCCGTGCTCTACCACAAAAGAAGCCACTGCAATGAGAAGCCTGTGCACCACAACAAAGAGTAGCCCCCACTCTCCGCAACTAGAGAAAGACCGCGCACAGCAACAAAGACCCAACACAGCCGAAAATAAATTAATTAGTATATTAAAAAAATAATTTAAAAGAAAAGTTGATTGTATTTTATTATGACAATCATCACTTACCTGGCTATGTCATATACACGGTCTGCAATCCGACTTCCAACCTGACAGATTATAAGAGGCAATGAAGTTAAGATGAAGGTTTAACAGAGAAGTAACACTCTCTCCAGTATTCAACAATCCATAGGTTACTTATGTTTCAACATGTTAAATTCCCTTTATCCCTTTTTCAATTTGACCTCAGCAACTTTCTTTTCAAATTCTGAATAGGAACATCATAAATTAAAGGAAACACACTGAGTTAATTACTTCAGAAGTCAATTTAAGGAAAGAAGACTAAATACTATATATATATATATATATATATATATATATATATATATGTATATATATGACTTTATATTCCATATGATACAAGAATGCAAGGCCAAAAAGCAACAGATACCCCAATTAAAAAAAAAAATCAACAGGAACATAACAAGCATATTATTGTCTATAGATATTAGCAAGAGGTATGTGAAAGTGAAAAATTAGTTAGCTGGGGATTATTACAGATCAATGTATAAGTGATCACTTAATAAAAACTCTGTTATTTGATAACTACTAACAAATTTTGTGGAACTCCTAAATGAGTAAACAACTTTTCTGAGCAACATCTGCAAATTAGAAGTCAGCCAAATCCGAAGAAACCTCTTCAATCCCACCCTAATTTAAAAGAGGTCATAACGTAGGCACCTCCTTTTTGCTGGGCTAGCTTCGTCTGGCAGGAATAAAGTTGTGGGAGCCTAATATTCCACTCATTCCCTTATAAACATCCCACAGTTTCTATTAGGCCTTGAAAGTTCAGAACATATGTGTATTTGCTTTCGGGGTGAAGGAGGGGTAAGGGAGGAGGGATAGCAGAAGTCATTTCCCAGAGGACTCCACTTTGTGCATCATTCCTAATATGAATACCTTTTGTTTATTATTTTAAAAAAAACTCTCACATACTTTATCTCATTTATTCTAGTCCTAAACACTGGTGAGGCCTCAGTCAAGTTGTAATACAGGTGCTTTTCTTGGAGAAGAGTGGCTGGAAACTCACATCTTCTAAGTACATGTCACCATGAACCCTGAGGACAGAGTCACTCATCTGATCAGTCCAGGACTTGCACAGAGCTCTGCCCAAAGTAGGGGCAGTAAATGTTGGCTGCATTGGCTTGAAATAACTCATTACACTTGATTTCAATTTTAGTCCATCCCTGAAGAAACTCGAGGCCTGAGCTCTGTGCTGCCTGTCCAGAAAGCAGAAACCTGCTCAAGTCCCTAGTCCACCTAGGCAGAGAGGAAGAGGTCTCTCAAACCAGCACAGACAAATCAGAGATCTTAATTTATCTTAATGAGTCTTTCTAAAACACGAACCAGAGCCCATCACTCCATTGCTTAAAAGCATTCGACAGTCTCACATTCCTCTAGAGCCCTGTTGGCCAATAGAAAAACAATCAGAGCCACATAAGCAACTGAAAATTTTCTAGTAGTCATTTTAAAAAGGGTAAAGAAATTAATTTAAACATTTTATTTAACCCAATGTATCAAAAATAAAACTTCAACATGTTATCAATGTAAAATGATATTAAGGAAATATTTTACATCCTTTGTTCACATTGTCACTGAAATCCCGTGTATTTTACATTTACTGCCCATCTCAAAGTGACATTCAGGTGCTCAATAGCTACATGCAGCCAGAAATTACCATATCAAATGGACAGCTGAGATGGAGAAGAAAATCCCAAGTCCTTAACCGTTAAGGCCCCCGTAAACTGGGCCCTCCCTGACCTCCCAATGGAGGTCCCTGGAAGCCTCAACAAGGTCCTTTCGGCCTCAGGGGCTCTGGGTTTGTCTTTCCCTTTGCCTACAAGGCTTTTCCCCCCAGATCCCAGCCTGGCTAATTCCTCATCACGTCTGTCTGAGCGGCCTTCCCTGACCAGCGCAGTCACCTTACTACCTCACTTTGTTACCTGGCCTTACTTCTTTAGCTGAAATTACATGTTTTTGTTCACTGTCTCGCCTCCCACAAGAATGAAATCTCCTGAGAGCAGCGGTCTTACTTTGCCCTTGTCACACCTGTAATACAGGCACCATCTGCCGAGGTTATGAATGAATGAAGAGCAATTTACCAACACCGGCGCCCGGCCGCTGGGAGACTACAGTAAAGGCCCAGACAGGCAGGTCGGCTGCTCAAGGTCACACAGCGAGGTGGGGGCGGCCGGGGCCTGGCCGGAGCTCTCGGACCCGAAGCCAAGGCTCGGCGCCGCCCTCCCCGCCGTCCCGCTGACTCACCTCCTCCTTCAGGTAGTCAAACTTTATCCGCTCAGGCTGCCGGGCCGCCCAGTTCTTCTGTTTCCTCTTCAAATCCCGATCGAATATGTTTAGGGACCTGGGCGAGGCGCTGCCCAGGGAAGAGACGCCGGAGGGCACCTTCCTGAAGCCGACGTTCTTTGCGGGGACCCCCGCCGCCGGAGGTCGCCGCCACCGGGGCGGGAACCTGGTCAGCCGCAGCATCTCCAGCAGCAACGCCGTTTGCAGGCGCATTTATCGTGCGCATGCGCCGCGGCTTCAGCGAGGAGTCTGGAGAGCTTCGCCGAGGGAAAGCGGAAGAAGTTTGGCCCAGTTCGCGTGCCATTACGGCTGCGCGTCACGCTGAGGATTGTGGGAGTCGGGGGGCCTACCTGTGGCTCGGAGAAGTCTCGGAATTGGTGAGTGGGGTTAGGGTCCAGAAAAAGGGCTTGTCGAGGGGGCAGAATCAGTCTCTGAAAGGGTCTCCATCGGATTCGTGAGCGCCGCGCTCTTCCTCCTTGCCTTTCCGACTTCTTTCTTCAGGTTTCCTTGCTCTTCCTCCGCGTCCTGTTGAGGGACCTCTTCCCTCTTCCGGTTCTCTGAGGTTTGGGAGTTGGGAAGGAGACCCTAGTTCTGGGGTCACCCTGGTGTTCCCCGCGTTAGAGGGTGGGTAGAAGGGGAGGGTGGGCTACAGAGATGAGGGCGGGTGTCGGAGATGAGGTTAGGTCGCCTTCCCCTCTCCGAATATCAGGAGTGTATCAAGTGCTTTCGTTCTAAACACTTATACACATTAGCTCTAATAGTTGAATGAAATGGTACCTACCCTACCCCATAAGGCTGTTCAGAGCGTTAAATGTTTAATTGTAAAAGTGCATCATAGTCAAGGCTTGCTTTTGAAACAAAGCACTATTACCATGTATTTATTAACTAGAGTGAGACTTCACCAGATTCATGAAGGGTGGTAGTATATAAAGGGGGAACTTTGAGCTAAACCTGAACTGATTTGGGTCTGTTTAGTTAGGAGACTAGGCACATAGAAGTAAATGCTGTTCCGGGTAGAATGAAGTAAGGATTAACGGAGAGAATGGGACCAGAACGTGAAGAAACAAATAAGACCAACTGAGACTATGGAATTTTTAAATTACATTAGTTTCTTACTTGTAACACATACAAGTATACAAGTAGAAATATAGGATATCTAAGTGAGGGCAGTTGGCTAGTAATCATTTGCCCCTCTCCATAAAGACCTGGAATTCTGCTTGGTTTTGCCTTAAATTTATTTCTCCATATGATCTGTACTCAAGATACTCTGATAGTTTTTTATTTTCTGCATGTGACTCAAAATGAGTTTGGGAAAGGAAATTAGACATGTTACCTTTATTTTACTTACATTTACCTTAGAATACAGTATTTTGAATTAATATTCCCAAAACATCTTATTTAATTCTATTAGTAACCTTTCATTATTGTTTTATTTTTTAGTGTTTGGTTTCTTCAAGCATTTGCCCAGTCAGACATTTAAAAATGGCATCCAAACAAGAAATAATGAGTGACCAGCGGTTTAGGCGGGTTGCAAAGGACCCGAGATTTTGGGAAATGCCAGAAAAGGATCGAAAAATCAAAATTGACAAGAGATTTCGAGCAATGTTTCATGACAAAAAGTTCAAATTGAATTATGCTGTGGATAAAAGAGGACGCCCCATCAACCATAGCACTACAGAGGACTTGAAGCGTTTTTACGACCTTTCAGATTCTGATTCGGATCTCTCTGATGAAGATAATAAAGCATTGAACCAAAAGAAAATGAAGAAGAAAAGACCCCAGACTAAAAACGAAGAAGAATCAAAAAATCTTGTTGAGGAGAAAAAGAAAGAAATCAAGAAAATTAACCAAAAGGATTCTGGAAATAAGAATGATTTAGATAACTCCAAGAGAATTCAGAAAATGAAAACCTCGTGCAAATCTAAGAAGATAGAGTCAATAAGTCCCAAGAGCGATAGCAAAGAATTTATACAAAAAAGTACAAAAGGGAAAAAAACCATTGTTCAACATAATACAGACTTGTTTCCCAAAGGAAAATTAAGAACAGTAGACTCAGGCACCTCTGAAATTGCACAGTCTCCCAAAGTCAAGTATTCTGAGACAGGAAGAGAAATGCAGTCAGGTTGGTTGGAAAGAACTAAAGATTCTTTGGTATTACATTACTTATTTTTACACTGGTCTTTTAAAAAAGGAAATATATGTAATGAGTATTTTCATAGTATCATAAAAGTGGTCAAATGCTTATTTGGAAGTATAAAGCTATGAAAGAAAAAATACCATATGATAGTGAATTTTTGATTTGATGCTATAATGGCTAGAAGAGAGACAAAAATTTAGGTCTTGAGGCTAAACAGTGATTTTGATTTGTGGTGGGCACTAGTGACAGCTAGGTTCTCCAACCAGATAAAATGTTATATGGTCTCATCAGAGGATAAAAAGAGGTGTGTCCGAAGAAGGTAAGTAGAGTTGGGTGCTCATTCCTTCCTTCATTCATTCAACTACTTTTAGTAACTAATATGTGGCAGATAGAACACTGAGTAAGACGTGGTTCCCCCATCTCAGGGCTACTGTTAGTGTATATGATGCCTGTGCAAATTAGAAAAAGATGTGCCCTTCTGGACACACAGCACTTCCAGAGCTCACAGTTTGGTGAGGACAGCACTTTGAGGGAGGCACAGCTTCTTTTCCCCTGAACAGACATAGTACTCCTGCAGGGTGTGTGGCTTGGTGATTGGAGTTTGGCCTTGATTTCAGCCCTTCTTGACCCTTTGCAGATCACCTTTTGCAAATAACAACCTGCTAAACTCTGTGCAGTGGCACTGGTCTAAAGCAGTACTGTCCAATAGAAATATATAATTTTGAATTTTCTAGTGGACACTTTAAAAAGTAAGAAGAAACAAGTGAAATTAATTTTATTAATATATTTTATTTAACCTAATATATCAAAAATTATTTTAATATGTAATCAACATAAAAAATGTAATGGGATATTTTATATTCTATTTTCATACTAATATCAAGTTGGATGAGCCATCTTTCAGGTGCTCAATTGCCAGATATGGCTGCTGGCTACCATATTGGACAGTGCAGATCTAAAGCAGAAGAAATTAATCAGAACCATAATACAAAATAGAGTAATTTAAAGTGCCATAGAAGAACAGGGCTCTGAGAATTCGGAGGAGGAGGTTACTCAAGATATGGTAATCAGTAAAATTCATAGGTGAAGTGCTATTTTGGTTGGGGTTTGGAAGAATTAAATTTGGGATCCAGAGTATTCTACACGGAAAGAACTTTTTGAGCAGAGATACAGTTGAGCTTGCTCAGAAGAGATCAGTATTCCCATTTGATTAGACAATAAGGTGTCTGAAGGGGTGAGTGAATAATAAAGCTAGAAAGGGTTGTTTGAAGCTAAGTAAGAAACATCTGACTCTAGTTATGTTTACAAGTTTTCTAAGCTTATTAAAAAGTTGCATCACCTCTGGCAGCAGGAAATTTTGAGTATTGGTATTGCTGATGGTTGATGTTGTAACTGAAAATTGGTGATGTTCAGATAAGCCAGACAAAGGCTGGCTGTGATTACAGGACCCAAGGAAGGTAGGCATCAAGAAGAGGCAGAGAGAGGTCTTGACAGGCCATAATCACACTGGGAAGGTAGGAATTATCAGGCAGTGGGCAGAATTCTAAATAGCAGGGACTAGGGGTCAGGGGTGAGATTTATAGTGGAACCACACAGCAAACTGAGGTATAGGGACAAGGGATGCAAGTCTGGTTACTGAAAGTGGAGAATAAGATCAGGCTGGGAACAGCAGCAAGGTTGGCTTGATGCTGAGTTTGTGAGCGAAGTTAGTCTAGTATCCTTCAAATTTCACTAGATTTAGGGCATTAGATTAATATATCCATAAAATCCTTGGGGTTGATTTTACAGAATCTTTTGACATATCTTTTTTAATTTAATTTTCTCAGTAACCATGAGAAATTAGGATATATTCATTAGGAAACAAGTGATCTATGTGAGGATACACAGAGCTGGGCCAGTAACTCAGGTCTTTGACTCTTTCTACCCCACCGTGTTTTTTGCTGTAATTTACATTGGTTCCACAGTCTAGAAAAAGCATTATCTGTAAGTAGAGATCAAGTGACTCCACCAGCACCATCTTTTTTTCTTTATTCATTCATGACTTATCATTCCAGCAAGTACTGTGTACAAGGGGCTTTTTAAGTGCAATGAAGTAAAGATGATGTAGGGAGTTGCAGTTTAATATTACGTATCATTTTAAAATGTTGATGCCCAGCACTTGCACTCCTAGAATTTATTTAAAGTAAACAATTGGGCACGTGTTTAAAGAATTGTGCATTATAGCATTGTTTTTAAAAATTTTTAAATGGTAACATAAATCATTAGGGGATTGATTAAATAAGTTATGATATATCCAAATATGTTCATGACATATGAAGTTTTAAAAATAGGTTACATGGGAATTCCCTGATGGTCCCATGGTTAAGACTTTACACTTTCACTGCTGAGGGCCCGGGTTCCATCCCTGGTCAGGGAACTAAGATCCTGAAAGCCACGCGGTGCAGCCAAAAAACCCCCAAAAACATAGGTTACAAAATAGAATAAATGGTATGACTAGCTACTTAAATTAGTGGGCATATCATAGAAAACATTTAGGGAGTTATGTACCAAAATAACCACTCAGTTATCTCTGAATGAAAAATTACTAGTCATCTTTATTTTCTTTGCTAAACCATATTTTCTTAATTTTTTACAGTGAGCATTCATTACTTTTATAATCAGAGGGAAAATGATAAAGCATTTTTTTAAAGTAGGTGAATAATAGTAGTGTTTATAGTCACTACTAGAGCAGTACCATCTAGGAATAGAGGCAGTTACTTATTTTTCTATTCCCTCATTATTTAGAATAAGGCTTTGTACAAGGTAGGCTCTGAGCAAATGTTTAGTGAATGAATAAATATTCTGAATGTACTTGATATTGTCAAAAATATTAAAATACTAGATCTCTTTAAGTCTCCCATGTATCAATTTATTATACAACCCCAAATGTGATATGTGTACCATTGTCATGTGAGAAGATGTCATATGTCAGGTGATACTCAAACATTTTTTATATTAATAGTTATGTAGTTCAACATCTTAGGTAAAAAAATGTAACCACCATATCACGTTTGTGGCTTCAGGGATATTGTTTAGAACAAGCTAATATTTTTAATTTAAAAAAATTCAGCTTCATGAAAAATATCAGTGACAGGCAAAAATCATGAAAATTGTATAGTAATAACTGATGTTTGAGAAATATTGCAATACTAGATAGAGCTGTGTCCCCAAGGTGTTATTTTAAGCAGGTTGCTTAAAAGTGAATTCTAATGCTTATCTAATGGTAACTTTCTTTCATTATCATGGTGGTGTTTTTCTGATCCCATTTGTAGAACTTATGATAATGCCTTTTTTTGGCATTTTCACATCTACTAGTTAGTTATCTTTTATTACTCCCCCCTCTCGTGGTACTAAAATAAAGCTCAGTTCCTACTTTCCTCCTAACGAAACTCCTTTTCATTTGGTCTCAGGTCGGGCATCTTTTTGAAGCCTTCCTTATTATAAATACCTCTCTGCTGGCAAATTTAGGTGTTTCTCTCTGTGGTGCTTTAGAACATAATTTCATAAATCAGTAAGTGATTTCTTTTGTTTATGAGCTCATGAAGAGCATGGGATCGTGTTATAAATCATCTCCCTTTTTGGTCCCCCCAGCTCAATTCTTTGTACATAGTACTCAATATTTGGTCAGTGAATGACTATTATAAGATTATAGGACCACTTATAGGCTCTATACACTTAGAACCTGTGAATCGGAAACATAAACTCCAACTTAAAGATGAATAAGATATATAAGATATATCTATATTCACACAGATATGCACAGAATAGATAGAAGCATATGATTGTTTTAGAAATAGGAAATCAGTCCTTTCTGTGTATAATGAGGGCCAAAAAAAACCCAGTTTAAGGTGAAACCAGTCTTTCACTCATATATTGCTAACCATAAGTCAGTTGCAAACTTTAAGATATAGCAGAAAAGTTACTATTTTGCTCTCTTCATAAGTGATCTTATCCACATCAGAACTTTTGTTATTATATACAAGAATAGGTCAAAAATTTTATTTCCAGCTCAGACTTCTCTGAGCTGTAGACTCATACAGCTCTATGTCTCCTCTTAGATGGCTCAGAGGCACTTCCAGTTCAAGATATCCAAAACCAAATTCATGATATACCTCCACCAAACAAACTTGTTCTCTTCTATCATTACCTCTTTTTCTGTCTGTCCATCTAGCTAGCTCCTTCTGCAAGCCAAGAAGCTAGGACTCATCTTTGATACTGCCCAGATTCCCCATATCAAGCCCCTGGCACTGATTACTGTTGGTCTTACCTCCTGACTCTGAAAGTCAAGAGCGACTCACTACTCTACATCTCTACTGCCACCAACTTTGTGCTACCTTCATTTCTCACCAGGAATACTGTACTAACCTTTTAATTCTTTTTCACATCCACTCTTAACTCAAGTTTTCTACACCGTTGCTGAGGTGATCTTAATATGCAAATCTGATGATGTCCCTCCTGAAAATAGCAGTGGCTTCTCATATGTTTTTATGATAAAGTCCAAAGCTACATGGCACCTACCTAACTCTTCAGTTTCATTTTCTACTTGACTTCTGTACAAGAATACTTCTGGCTATCTGTAATCCAGACATACTTGCCAGCTTTTTTCTATTAGTGGATCTTTACGTATGCTTTTCTTGCTATTTGGAACATTTCCTTCATCTATTAGTCTAACCCTGACTACTTAATTCCTCTTCATCCTTCTAGTAGCAACTCGTTTATCACTTACTTAGGGACCCCTATTTTGTGCTCTCATAGCATCTTGTAACATTTCTTCTTGGCACTTATCCTAGTTGTAATTTCATTTTTTTATGTGCATTGATTTGATGGATTTTATTTGATCAGTAACTGTCCATCCTCTTCACCTGACTGGAAGCTTATTGAGGGCATTGATTGCTTCTCTTTTGCCAATGGTAGTATGTTGAGTACCTAGCACAGAGCAGACACTCCATAAATATTGAATGAGTATATGAATCTACTTGTGTGATCTGGGTATATATTAAGATTTCTATTAAATAACTTGGTTAGGCATGAATTTTGCCGAATTTATATTTTCCTTTAGTCTGTTTCATAGAAATTATATTTTCACTGGATTTGAGGTCAAAATAACTTGGATTTAATTTAATTCAGTGTTTACGTTTTCTTAATTTCTCCTACCTTTGACTTTTTTGCAGTGGTTCCATTCATAATGGCAAGAGACGGTGATGGTCATGAAAACTCAGCAAGTGGTAAAATGTTTGACAAAGAAGCTCTGGAGGAAGATTCAGAAAGTGCTAGTGAAATAGGAGGTGATGAAGAATCTGAAGATGAATTTACAGGCATTTGTAGAGCTCTTGCTGCTGATCTTCATGATGATGATGATGATGATGATGATGATGATGGAGGGAATGAAAATGATGAGGAGGAAGATGAAGATGAGGATAGTGAGGATGATGATGAAAGTGACAGTGGCCCCGATCTTGCGAGAGGCAAAGGAAATATAGAAACTAGTTCTGAAGATGAAGAAGATATGGCGTATTTACTTCCAGAGGAATCCGGTTTTGAGCATGCTTGGAGAGAATTAGATAAAGATGCTCCTCGGGCTGATGAGGTGACCTTTTGAATAAATAAGATTATTTGTCAAGAGTACAGTAGAAGTAGCTGTTATAGATGGTAGGATTGATGTCATTAAATTAACAAGGAAAAGCTTTATTGGTAAATAATACTCTTGATGATGATTCTGATTAAAACTTCTTGATACAGAATATACCTATATAAAGTACATGTCTGTCCAAGCAGATAGGGATGAACTTCTATATAAATAATTAAAAGTCACATGAAATTTTTAGAAAATTCTTGTTTTAACTAGGAGTTTATATTTCAATTCCTACTGCACCTATTAGAAATGCTGTAGATTAATATACTCAACTTTCCTACTTATGGGTGGCAGAATAGCTTAACAAACTTGGTGGTTAAAGAATCAGCTCGTCATCATGTTCTGATTCAAGAACTAAGAACCAAGTAAGAGAAAGTGCTTTTCTGTTGGCAGTTTTACTTTTGTGTGACTCATCTGATGTTTTCTTTTACATATTGAAACCACTTAAATACTATATTAATGATTTCAGGATTTGGGGAAAAGAAGGCATTATATTTTTACTATCTTAATTTTGCAAGCATTGGGAATGATACAGATTATGTCATATTTAATTTTTCTCATTTCTTAGATTACGCATCGATTAGCAGTTTGCAACATGGACTGGGATAGATTGAAGGCAAAAGATTTGCTGGCTTTGTTCAATTCATTTAAACCTAAAGGAGGTGTTATATTTTCTGTAAAGGTGAGAATTGATTTTATTTTGAAGTAAATATTTCTAAACATTCTAAGTTAAATCTCTTTTTTTAAAGTCATAGTTTTCCTTCTAAGGAAAATAATCTGGAAGTTGTCCCATACAGTTAAGGCACAAAACTGATATAATAGGTATGAAAGTAAGAAAGGAAGAGGTAAAATTATTGCTTGGTTATATGATTGCGTTTAATTAAAAAAAACAAAGAAATCAACTGAAAAGCTGTTATAATAAAGCTCAGTAAAGGGACAAGGTATAAGATAAATATTTTAAAAAATGCTTCATTACTAGAATTAGCAAGAAGAAAAACTAGCAGCAGAAACATATAAAAGCCTTAGAAATTACCTTAAACAATATGACCTATATGAAGTAAGCTGTTACACTTGATAAATAATACTTGAAAAACTTAAATTTTGAGATACCATATTTCTAGAGAGCCCACCTAGGTATTAAGACTCTAGGCTTTGTAGTATGACAGACCTATATTCAAATCTTGATTCTGATACATGCTGTATGATCTTGTGCATTTTATTGATTAATTTCTCAAATGTGTTTTCTCCTCTAAGTAGATATAACAGTAGTATTTCTTAAGGCAGTGGTAAGGATTAAATGAAAAGGACATCATGCTAAGTATTTAGTACAGTGCCTGAAACAGCTCTAAATTACTATTGTTCAGTTTAAATATTTAAGATGTCAGTTCTGCAGTTTTAGTATAGTTTCAATCAAAATCTCAGTTCAAATGAAAGTTAAGAAAAAGGTTACCGTTAATCATCTAAAAGAATAAACAAGTGAGAATGACTCACAAGTTTTTGAGAAATCATACCAGTATAAAAGGATTCACCCTACCAGTTACAATATCTCAACATTTTATAATGCTACAGAATTTAATAGCTTTGGGTAAAAGTACAGGGACAACTTGATGGAATAGGTAGATAGAAGAGTTTGTATGATAATTTAGAACAAAATAAACTTCTTGAGTACATGGTATTGGAACAAATGGACAAGTCCTTGTGTGGAGAACTTAGTGTGGGTCCTTGTAATAGCCCCAAATGATAGCCAGATGAAATGAAGAAAAAAATTTTAAAACTACTGGCAGAATAAAATAGAATGGTATTTTTGTTAAATCTTGTGTTTTAGGAGATGGGTAGTAGGAATCTCTGGACTTACAAAGAGGAAAAAAAATACAAAGAATCAACAGATGTAAGCATATATACTAAAAACTTCTGCATTGAAACCTATTTTATGCAACTTAGATTAGTAAGAAAAACTTGGATCCCCTAGTGGATAAATTAGATATTTCAAACAACTCAAAAAAGTGTACATTAGTTAATAGATGAATATTAAGCCCAGTTGTATCAAAACAATGCAGATTAATACAATTATATTTCTTGAATCTCAAAAGTAGCCAAGATAGAAAAATACCAAATCTAGGCGAGTGTGACTCCTTCTTATACCAAGACTATATCTAACCTGTGTGATAAGATTGTCATCAGTTCTTTTTCATTTAAAGAATTTCTTTAAAAGAAAGCATTGGATAAACGATATGATTTTAGGGATAAGTTAGGTGTTACAAAATTATTTTTCTTCATTGTTTTATATATTTCTTTAATCATTTTAATATATCTCATTTAAATTATTTAATCCAATCATTTTTCACGTGTGTGTGTGTCTGTCTGTCTGTCTGTCTGTCTGTCTGTCTGTCTCTGTGTGTTTATGTATCATTCCTTGAACTTAGAATCTTGTTTCGCTTTTCTTAATTTTTGCCTTAGAGCCCAGAATGTATGGAGGAGATATTCTATTTTTGTTCCCAAGCCCACATCTGTTAATCCCTAGCCAAGATGACTATTTTTAAGGTTATTCCTGAGGATGCTTTAGCTTCCGATAGTGGGTTTGGAAGTGAAGCATTCTTGCTGTTTTCATTGAGTCCAGTTGTTTAGAGTTCCTGACCTTGACAGGTCTGTATATTATAAGAAAAGGGAAATATAAATTACATTAATCTTATTTTTTGTGTTTAGATATATGCTTCAGAATTTGGAAAGGAGAGGATGAAGGAAGAGCAAGTTCAAGGACCAGTAGAGTTATTAAGCATTCCTGAAGATGCCCCTGAAAAGGACTGGTATTAAAACACTCTAGAAAATAAAACTAAACCTCATGAGTTTGTGACACTAGTTCAGAATTCTGGTCACTTTAATAGTTGGGACTAAAGTTTACACTTGTGCCATTCATGGTTAAAACAGGTTTCAAAGCAGGTTAAAGTCTGTCACAAGTGGCACACTATTCCAGTAACATTTTTTTGTGTGTATTTGTATTTCTTGATTCATGAAAATTATTATTGCAGTTTTAAAAACATGTCATGATTAAACTGATTTAGAGGTCTCAGCCTCATTGCCCTGAATCAGTAAGTTTTGCTTTTTTTCTGAGATGTTGCTTTTTAGGTAAATGGCCTTCAAATTATGTAATTTCTCTTATTTAAGGATTAAATAGAAAAATACAAGAATAGTAGAAAAAGTTCTTAATCATCGTAATGTAGTATAGAAAAAAGTTTAAGGTAGTTTTTAATCCACTAGGTGGAGCTATATGTGCACTTAATAAAAATTAGTGGCAAAAGAGAGCAGATGAAGACCCTCAAAGAATATGCTGTAGTTAAGTAAGTTGAATTTACACCACGTAGACTTGACAACACCTGAATAAAGTTTTACAAGATCAGTAATTTCTTTATAATAAAAGCTAATGCTTTCCTAGAATATTTTATAATACAGTGATCCTCTCGAGTGGTTTTACTTGAGAAGGCTGTATGTGATAGCAAAACAAACAAAAAAATAGCTATTCTAAGAATTAAAATCACAGGTAAGCACATGTAGTTCTTGCTTTCCTTTTCTAGATATCAAATTCCAGTCAAAATCCCTGGTCTGTACCTTGTCAAAATAATAAATTGGGCTTAAGTGTTTAATGTTCATGAAGGCAAAATCATAAAGGAGGGTTGGATTGGAATATAAACCAGTTTGTAATATATATTTCTTGGAACAATTACATTTATTTTTTAAAGGGAGAGAGTATTTGTGTTCCTGTTTAAGCCTAATGAGTTTTTCCCCTTTTAGGACCTGTAGAGAAAAACTGAGAGATTATCAATTCAAACGACTGAAGTACTATTATGCAGTAGTAGACTGTGATTCTCTTGAAACAGCCGCTAAAATTTATGAGGATTGTGATGGCCTGGAATTCGAAAGTAGTTGCTCGTTCATAGATCTCAGGTAATCTAGTGTGTGTTGTACCAATTTAATCTTGTAGCACAGCATGATTATAAGAATTGAAATATTAGAACTGGTAGTGCTCTCTGTCCTTTCACATTCTAAGAGGATTTTTTGCTTTTGGTGAACTCTCTTGTAGAACATCACTCTTAAGAAAGAAAACTGGAATGAGAAAATGCTAAAGTATTAGGTGTGAGTCACCTCACATTTATGTCCTTTCAGATATGTTAAATATGTTTTTAGGATGATGGGTTTTATGTAGCGATATTTCTTTGCAACTCTCTTTTAGAACTAGGAACCAGGGTGAAATAACTTTTTAAAAAGCATTCAGGTGGAGGCAAAGGAATTTACTTGTAATAAACTAGTATCTCTTGATCTGTGCCATCCAATACAGTAGTCAGTAGTCATATCTGGCTTATTTACATTTACTTAATTAAAAATTTAAAAAAGTTTAAACTCATTTGCTTAGTCACACGAGGCACATTTCAAGTACTTAATGACCACATGTTGGACAGAACAGATACAGAACTTTACCATCATCACAGAAAGTTCTGTTGGGCAATGCTGCTCAGTGAATGGTGTTGCTGGCTTTATCTTCAGACTTGGGCATTATTTCCACCACGTGCTCAGGCTTCACTGACCCAAGCTGAAAAACCTTAGGTGTTTGGGAATGTCTGTTCTAAGGAAACCAGGAAGCCGAACTACTGTACCATTTTATCATTAGCCTAGTTCTTTGAACCCAGTGAACCATTTTACTGTGACATTTTCAATAGAAATCACTTGTTTGTATCCAGGTTTGTTAGTGGCTTTGTTCTCAAAATGAAATATTTTACGGAAAAAAAATGCATCAATTGATAATCACTGTGGCTTTCACACTTCAAAAGCATTCCAACTTGTAGCAGAATACAAGTAAAATTTTTTTTTTTTTTTGCGGTACGCGGGCCTGTCACTGTTGTGGCCTTTCCCGTTGTGGAGCACAGGCTCCGGATGCGCAGGCTCAGTGGCCATGGCTCACAGGCCCAGCCGCTTCGCGGCATGTGGGATCCTCCCAGACCCGGGCACAAACCCATGTCCCCTGCATCGGCAGGCGGACTCTCAACCACTGTGCCACCAGGGAAGCCCACAAGTAAGATTTTTTGTATTGATAATTTAGGGTAAGAGTTTAGCATGCTTAAGTATATAGCAAGAAGGGCATATCTCATCAAACAAGACATTTCCTTCTCTTTTCTGTTAACAGTTTCAAAAGGAGGTACTTGTTTTGGATATATAAATAGTAGTTCCCAAACATTTGTTAGAATGTCAAACTCTGCATATCATGAGTTCATGTTCACATGTTCTTTTCAGGATCATTTTATTCTTTGTTTCCTTTTTGGGACATTTTTATGCAGTATTAGAATAAGCTCTGGCAGTACCTAGAAAATAAGATCAATGACCATGGAAAAACTTATATTCCCTGTTTTATTTTGTTATATATAATTTTATAAAAGAAAATTGAATTTTCTGCTGCCATCCTGTTATCTAGGGCAGGGGTTCCCAATCCCTGGGCCGCAGGCTGGTACTGGTCCACAGCCTGTTAAGGAGCCAGGCTGCACAGTAGGAGGTGAGCGGCAGGCGAGCAAGCGAAGCTTCATCTGCTGCTCCCCATCGCTCCCTATCGCTTGCGTTACTGCCCTAAGCCTAACACCCCACCCTCACCCCCACGTCCGTGGAAAAATTGTCTTCCACGAAACCAGTCCCTGGTGCCAAAAAGGTTGGGGACCACTGATATAGACCTAATGAACCTTAATTATTCATTCCTCCCCTCAAAAATCATTTTTGATGCAATATACAGCAGGTGCTTTTTCATGTGTGGAAATAAAATCTCCTATATAAATTACAAAACCTAAATATAATAACCATGGATCATTTCTCTTTGCTTTTTTCCTCCCATTCCTTAGCCTGATGCCTAAGAATTGTCAATTACAGTGGCTGATTTACATTTAACAGCTATTTATTTGTGAAAAAAATTATAAAATTGTTAAGATTTTTTTAGTCTTGAAGAATCAGCCTTAAGCTTTTCCTTATTTTCAGTGACACCTCATATGTATGATACTTTATATTCAGAGCACTTACCCATTAATAATTCTATTTGATCTTCAGCATATCATATAGCAAGCCAATGACTGAGCTATCAGGAATCTAGGTCTTTTTGAAACATGAGGGACCCATGTGTGTTTACACCTGACTCATATTAACTGACTCCTAACTCAGGGTTTCTGCCTACACAGACTTCACTCACATTTGGTGGAATTACAGATTTATAGCTTAGGAATTTCAGAAATTTTGTGCCAAGGTTATTTCTAACATTGTTTGCTTCATCTACATGTGTGTTCTGTAGAATCTCTTATATGGTGTGTATGTATACACTATACCTAATTAGAAGAGAATCTAAACTCTGGTTGTTTATCACTGCAGCATATGTTTAAATAAATTTATTTTTTTCTTTGTTTCTTAGGTTTATACCAGATGATATTACTTTTGATGATGAGCCCAAGGATGTAGCCTCAGAAGTAGATTTAACAGCATATAAGCCAAGATATTTCACATCTGCTGCAATGGGAACATCAACGGTATTTCTTAACTTTAGAAAATATATAGCTGGACTCAATTTCTTTAAGAAAAGAGTTATTTACTTACAGCATCTTTAGAAATGGAAAGGATTCAAAATTTTAAAGCATAAGTACAAATAGAAATCAAACACAGGTGTATTTGCATTTTTATCTCCCACATGTGTTGGAACCTATTTTCAAATTTTTGTTATGCCTTTAAGCCTGAGTCAATTACCTGCAAATGTTTCTTTTTTCTCTTCTATCTTTCCCATAGTGTTACTTAACTAGATTCTTTAATAAGTAATATGTTAGTTATTAATATCCTAGGGAGTAGGGGTAAGGAGGTAACATTACTTCAAATCACAGTTAAAACCAGTGGAAATTTAAAATAGAAACACATTTTTTCTGCAGATATGATCCAAAATTCTAAAAACAATTGAAGTAGAATAACTCAGGACTACTAGATGTCACATTAATGCTTAATAATGAACAGCCAAAAGATTTTTATTGAATTAGTTTGTTACTTAGCTGCCTAGTTTCTCTGCTCTTCTACTCCATATACCTTCTATCCACAGCTGGACTCTGCAGCAGCCATACAGGCTTCTCATTGCCTTTTTTTGTGACAAGCCACTGTGCTCTTCTGAGGATAGGCTGGTGGCAGAAAGAGAGCTGCTGTATCTGTCACCTGCAGCCTGTGGGAACTGTGTGGCCTTAATTAGTTACTCAGTACAGGGAAACCCCACCAGTATGCAATAAGTGAAGTCTGAAAGATTCAGTCACATAAAATGTAGGATCATGTTATTTTCAAGACGAAAAAATGGGCAAGCCTATCCAGCCAGCCAGTCTGGAGTTCCTATGGTCTGGCTGTATCATCCACATCTGTTGCAGTTCCATCAGTGGTTTTGTGGTTATCAACTCAGTCTTAATTATCAGAATAAGAATAATTCTGAATGGTGACTAGCTGGAATTTCTCTGACAATGGCAACTGTTTTAAGGATTGGATCTCTTGGTGCCCATTTTGTTGTCCTGAACTGGAAAGATTAGCCTGAGGGGGAAAAACAGCAAGGATGTGGGACCAGCCCTGTGATGAAGATTAAACCTCTAACTGGACCCTGAGAATGGGGGCTACATGGAAGACAGGAGCCAATCACAAGGCCGATGATGTTATAGATGAATTCCTGTGTTGTGGGGGTTTACTGTACTTCCAACAAATAGATGCCTTTTTCATCAGTGGCTCTTAATCTCTTTTGGAAAATGGACCACACTGAGAATGTGTTGAAAGCTTTATCAGCAAATTTCAGACAGTTTGTAGACCTCCTGAAATGCCTAGAACTCCAGGTGAAAAACATGTCTTGACTCATTCATAATAATGTTACTTTTTTCACTAGTGCATTTTCTTGTTTCTTTTCACCACAATCAGTCCATACACTGATAAATTTTACTCCAAATAATAGAGTACCTTGCATATAGTAAAGAGTTAGGAGGATGAAGGCACAGGTTAATTGAAATGGTTCCCTTTCCACAGGTAGAAAACTTTTCATTGAGCATGTTATTTATTATTTGTTTTAGCATGTCTTAACTTTTTTAGTTTACTGTTAAACATACAAATTAACGATAAATATTCTTTAACAAGTTTGGGTTGCTGACATTTCCATTTTTATTTTATTTGTTGTTTTTTTCTTATTCATTGATGAAAGGTGGAGATCACTTGGGATGAGACAGATCATGAAAGAATTACAACACTCAACAGGAAATTTAAAAAGGAAGAGCTTTTGGACATGGATTTTCAAGCCTACTTAGCTTCCTCTAGTGAAGATGAAGAAGAGATAGAAGAGGAGCTACAAGGTACTGTTCATCTTTTGGTGTTCTACATTTGTAAGCATTTGGATACCTAATCTAGACTTACTAATGGAAATAAGTTTGACAGTAGCTTAAAAGGGAATATCAAACTAATCTTCAAACTGTCTGTGAAGCAAGCTCACATACACAGTATTATATACACCTTTAGATAGTAATTGAAATTTTTTGTTTAAAGGTATTTTCTTAGCCTGAATTTCTTTAACCAAAAACTCTTTGAACCCTGACCTCACAAAAAAAGTCTGGCCTTTTAGACTAGTAATGATTGTTGTAGTAATGCAATCACTTAAACTAGTAAAATGCTTTATTACTCCCCCCCCTTTTTAAACTAAGAGCTTCTTTTGGATTATTTTTTACATTCCATTTTTCTGCTCAATTAGTTTACAAAGTAGACTCTTTCTGTCCATTTAGTGATTATCCTAGAAATCATGACTTGTGTCCTTATTAAAGTTTAATGCTAATTAATATTTTTATCCTCCTGGAGAATACAAGGAATCTTAAAACAACTTTCATGCTATTCTGTATATTGTAATTCTTAAGTCCCATAGGACGTTAAATTACTCTTTTGTTTAAATTTACCCACATTTTCCATACTACTTTTGCTCCTTATTCTTTTCTAAATCTCATACTTCTGTCTGAGATCATTTTCCTTCTGCCCTAAGTATATCTTTGATAATTTCCAGTAGTATCTACTGGTGTCAAGCTCTTGAATTTTAGTTTACTCTAAAAATTTCCTTTTTTGCCTTCATTTGTGAAGATAGCTTCACTGGTAAAAAAAATTCTAGGTGGACAGTCCTTCTGCCTCCACATTGAGGATAATATCCTGCTGGCTTCTGGCTTCATTGTTGTTTTTGAGAAGTCAGCTGTCGGTCTACTTTTTTCAGCCTTTTGAAGGTTGCCTGGATTTTATTCATTGACTGCTTTTAAAGTTTTCTCTTCCTTTTTGTTTTTCTGCAGTTTTAATATGAACTAAGAATAGATTTTTTAAATTTATTGTGCTTGGGGTTGGTTGGGTTTCTTGCATTTGTGGCATGGTATCTTTCAATCAGCTTTGGAATATTCTCAGCTATTATCTGTTCAGGTATTTCCTCTCCCCTCTCCTCTGGGACTCCAATTAAATATATGTTAGATTGTTTCACTGTAACTTACATGTTGTTTCTCTCCTGTATTTTTTATCTATTGTATTTCTGTGCTGCTTTCTGAATATTTTTTCTTACCTATCTTCCAGTCCACTAATTCTCTTTTCAGCAGTGTTGAATCTGCTGGTGGACTGTTCATTGAGTTAATTTTGATTATTATATTTTTTTACTTGTAAAAGTCCAGTTTGACTATTTTTCAGATCAGCAGTATCAACTTTTTAACGTTTTTTACTCATTGCAGTTATTTTCAATGCCTTCTTTTCTGTAAACAGGAAACATGTTTTTGTTGTGTATGTCTGATAATTTCAGTATTTATTTCAAATCTTTTGGGGTTGATTTCTGTTACTTTACAAGATACTTCTCCTGTTCACTTGTATGCCTGGTTAACTTTTTGTGCCGGTTTGATATTTGAGATGAGAGTGTCTCATCAGAGAGGACTTTCATTTACTCTGGTCATTCTGGAACCACATCACTCCAAGTTTTAAGACTTGAGGTTCCCTGGACCTAGTGGGCAATGCAGGTCTGTGTGAGAGCTAGTTTACTTCTGGTTGACCCTTGCCCTGGAGTATATCCTTTTGGGTCCCTACTGTGGGACCCAAATGTGGGGGTACTAGCTGCTTCTTTAACTTTTGTCTTCTTGGCCTGCCGGGCTGCCAGAACTGTAGGTTAGTCTCACAGCTGTTTCTTTGGTAGATCAGTACAGGCACTCAGGGCATATAGGTCTTGAACACTGGGGTCATCTCTCTGATCACCATCTTCTCCTTGATTTTGACTTGGTAATTCTTCACTAATTTGTCAGTTCTTTGAAGTTTTCTTTTTTTCTTTTTTAAAACCCTCTGAATCTTTTAAAAAGATTTTTTTAAACACTTCATCCAGCTTGATGTCCTCAGTAAAATGGTTGGTCTGAAGTGTACCTAGCTTCCCATTAATGGAAGCAGAAGTTCTCAGATTGTCTATATCTTTATCTAAAAATTTTTCTGACGATTAAAACGATCTGTGGTGTATTTTAAAATTATATATGTTGTTTGCTTAAAATAGCTCATTTTTTAAAAATAGGGCCAAAAAACCCCTTTTCCCTTATATTGGATCTGGCTCCATTTGGAAATTTGGTTGCTTGATTGTAATTTCTTATTAGTTTTTGGTTGATACTCTCGCCCAGATATCTTCACACTTTCATTTTCGTTTATTAGATGAATTCTCAACCATGCACAATTATGAGTAAGATAGAATTATGTGCTGATAGCAAATGAAGAACCATAAAAGTTAAACATAAAGTATTTTAAATTAGCAGGAGTGAATATTCTTACTTTTATTTATAGCCTGACATTTTTCATACCTGTCCTTTTGGTTTTTGTTTTGCATATATATTGTTTTTATAATTTATAATTTTATAAATGTGAAATTAAATAAATCCTGAAATGCTTCTTTAGTATTATCATAGGACCATTAAACCTTAACTTTCTTAAGATCCTATGATTTTAGGCTATTGAAGATATTGCTTCACTGATCTAAGTTTTTCATAAAGTATTACTCTTGAGCTCTGTTTATGCATTGAATGGAGAATCATGTTTAATCATTCCAGTTTCTTTGTTCAGAAATCTCATATTAATAAAACCACATAATTTCTTAGGTATCTAATAGTCTTTGAAAAAGTATATGATTTGCAGTGGTAGTTATATGGGCACAAAAGCCTTCACATTTAAGGCCTTGATGGCTGTTGCTTGTTAATTTCTTTGGCATTCCAAACAGTTGAGTGACCATGTTATTTTTAGTGTATACAGAACAGCTGAGTCTTTCTCAAATAGCCTTTACATTTTTTACCCCCATAGATACACTAATTTATCTACATTTTCTTTTATTTATATACCTATATGGTCATTTAACACTTTTCTGAAAATTCTGGATAGTTTTTCTTTAGTAGCAGCGCTAAGATAAAGGAAAAAAAAAAGATCATTCCGTGTATTCTTGAGAAGATTGAATACAAGTTTTTCAAATAGGTTTTCTTTGTTTGCTTTGGGAGAACTTAACTAGATTTTGAAATGACATTATTGAATACATTAGGGCAGTAAATTATGGGAAGATAACCATTAATTTGTCAGTATATTCTTGTTAAGGTCTTGGGCTTTGCTGATTTCAAATCCTGACTTCACCACATAGTGAAGTTACTTAGGTTAGGTTTTCTTAGTCCTCAAGCCTTTCTTTCCAAAGGTATGAAATGAGGATCATAATAGTACCTGCTCATGGTTGGAAAAATTGAGATAATGTATATAAAGTCTTAGCATACTACCTCATGTCATATGTCTTTACTTCTAAAACTTTAAGGATTAATGGCTTTTTGTTTGAAATATACTAATTAACTTTTTTAAAGCATGCATTTTTATTTTTCTTCAGTATTTTAATTGATTGCAAAGTCACTTTAATCTATAGTTTAGTACCTCTGATAGATACATTTAGTATATTTGAATGCCTTAGAGTTACTATATGTTCCTGTTGTAGTTTATAAGAGATTATACCAGGGTTTCTTACATTTACAGTTAATTTTTTACTCCTTTTATATTATTAAGGCTTTCACAAAGTTTTGTCCTTGAATTGGGAAAAAACAGACTTCCATGAGTTAACCCACATTTTAGAGATTCAGAAAGTAAAATTTTAGTACTGGAAAAAAATCAATTTAAAGTAGGCCATCAGAGACTTACCACTAAAATTTCAACCTGGAAGGAGCTTGCTTCTAATTATATTTTCAGAAGTAAGCTTTTAATAGAAAGAAATACATTGCCATTTTGTTAATGTGTTCCTGATGTTTTATCCATTGAATTACGGGATACATGACAGAATTCCATCCAACATTATTATTGTGGCACAAAGCACAAACAGGAAAAAAATGAATTTCAGCTGTTTGAGTGAAAATGTAAAAGTGTGATAGGATGGAAAGAATGTCGTGGACTATTTTTTATTCATTTAGAGAAAAAAACTATAAAAACATTTACTTAACCAATTTTTTTCACATTACCTTTTTGAAAATGTAAGGACAGTCTGTTAACATGGATGTTTCACAGCTGAATGCTTAATAATGTCAGACATATTTAGTGACCAGTTAGCCGTAGCTCATAGAAGGGAGGGTCTTCTGTATGCTACTTCTAAATTTTCCTTTACTGGGGACATTTAGTCAATTCAGTAAGTATGTTTTGCATTAAAACCCAGGTTCTTAATTTATGTTTTTGACTTGGGAGAATTACAGTGGAAATATAGAGCAAACAAACTTTTCACGTATTAGTTTTCTTTGGTATTTTTGGACCATGAATTTTATACTGTTCCGTTGTATTATAATTATTTTTATGAAATTAGGAAATGTAAACGTGAATATTTTCCACATGAGGAAATTAATTGCACAAACTTCTAATTTATTCATTTTTATTCTTAATGTATTAATGAGATCCTGAGAGTAAGCATGCTTGCTCACTATCAAATGGAAAGGACTCATTATTCTTTGTTTTGGATTACAGGCAACTTCCTTTATCTGTATCATCAGCATGAATGGCTAAATCCATTTATCAGATGCATCTCAACACTATTCAGGCTCCTTTTATTGACTATATATTTTAAAGCCACACTGTTGGATGGTGGGAGACGTAAAGAGGAAAAAAGTGCCATCCCTCCTATCTTGCTTATAGGGTGGAAAAGTCCAAGGATGTTACATGACTACAGGATTATTTTGAAATATGAATTTTAATAAAAAGATATTCCCAAGTGTAATATTGTGACCATGCTAACTTATATTGCAACTGATTTTTATTATAAACAAGACCTAAGTCATTTAACTCATTTTGTATTAAGAAATTAAAGTCTGATTTTGATATTCTATTGTTACAGTGTATCTGACATTGTTTAGAAGGGTGCTGCAGTGACTGAGATTAAACACTGAAGTTAGAAGTAAATTATTTCTGTGTATTAAATGAAATTGATTTTTTTGTTAGGTGATGATGGAGTCAGTGTAGAAGAAGGTGGGAAAACAAAAAGAAGCCAGAAGGATGATGAGGAACAAATTGCTAAATATAGGCAGCTCTTGCAAGTTATTCAAGAAAAAGAAAAGAAAAGCAAAGAAAATGATATGGAAATGGAAATTAAGTGGGTTCCAGGTAAGAATTAGATACTAACTAAATGTTCACTTGTTTTCCTTTGTTTTGGGATGTTGGATATAAAAGAAAAGAAGATCAACTCTTTGGAAACATAAACTTAAAAAAATCACATTTTCAAGGAGTGTTTTGGTGAGGAAGATAACATGATATCTGCATGCATGATTTAATTCACTTTAGCACCAGCATTTTCTACTGCTGTGGCTTATTGTCTCTTTAATTTACTAACTACAAATTATCCATTTATAAAAGTAGACCTTTCCTAGGTTTGATTCCAGTATTCTCAGGTTGTAGAAGTTTGAATCCAGGCACCATGAAGTCATTAAACTTTTTTTCAAAATATGTTATTAATAAGTGGACTTTTCTCTAGTAACTGCTACTAGACTTTAATTAGTGAGGTTTCACTAACACAAAATATGTAATACATAGTCTTCTGTCTCAACTGTGCGATGTTTGAGTATTTTTGAACAAAGAAGTAAAGCATCATAAGTGGTTTTTATAACTGCCTTGAAGAGTTCAATAACCCCATACTAGTACAATAACATTAAAACCATGTCAAAGCTAAACAAAGAAAAGCTAGGATAAACGAGGGTTGTTTTCTAGCGTATGCATTTTTTCTTAACAATCCTGGGCAAATCAGCATGTACCCTTGCAAATAATGTGGGGTTTTTTTGCAAATTACTGCTTTTTACATATATGTATATCTTTTGAAGGTAGGTATAATTTTTGACAAGGGTTCAATTCTTATAGCCTCAATTCGTCTCTAGATGAAAAAATACTACTTATAGCACCATTGCATTAACTGTTCTATATTCAGTTACTTCTGTTTCTTACACTACTATGTTTTTGCACTGAGAGTAAAATATCTGTTAGGTTGTTTTTATTTGCGGGGGGGTGGGAAACTAGGATATTTTGATATCTGAGGATTGATTGACTCTTGCAGTAAATTTATTAGGATATACACATATCTTCTGCCTATTTCTATAGGAACATGGTGCTATGTTATAACCCATTTGTTTTAAATGCTTGGCTTTTGCAGGAAGTGGTGGTAAGAAAAAATAAAGTTTAGTAGTGTTATCCTATGAACAGTGGTTGAGAGAATTCAATTAATTTAGCCTGGAGAGGAAAAGTTTAAAAAGTGACTTAATAGTTATTTTCAAGTACTTAGAGGCTGAGTATGTAAACAGAGACTTAATCTCACATACTACCTCAGAAGTCAGTGCTTTTACCAGTGGATAAAAGTTGAAGGAAAGTAGATTTCAGTGTAAGGTAAAGAGGAATTCTCTATATCATTAGGATTGTTCATCAGAAGAGCATAGAGGCTGCTTTAAGGAGTTGAGTGTCCTTTATCAGTAAGTCTCACAATAAGGCAATACAACCATCCCACTCAGAGATGTGTGAAGAAATTTTTTTATATGAGGTCCTTGGATTTATGATTCCAAGAAATGTTGGATTTTGTCTTTTAGTCAAGTATGTTGTAATTGTAGCTTAATTCTAATCTTAGAATGAGCTTATTGAATGAAGATATTTTAAATGAACATATTTTAAATTGAGGTATTCAGGTGACTATTTGAGAAAGAAGATTTAAAATAAAGTTGATTGCAAAGTTTTATATTAAATATTTTAGAGCTATATTGAGTGGGCCAGATCTAACCTTTGTCTTTATTAGTACAGTTATGTAGTGCAAATACCAAAAAGTGATACATAGGAAGATTTAAGCAGTACAGTTTTCCTAGGATAAACCTCACTTAGTCATGGTTCATTGTACTTTTTTTATATTCCTGGACTCAGTTTAGTAATGTTTCATAAAAGATTTTTGAACCTGTGTTAATGAGGAATATTTGTCTATAGTTTTCATTTCTTGAAATGTCCTTAATTAGCTTTTGGTATCAGGGTAATGCTGATCTCATGTGATGAATTAGCAACTGTTCCCTCTTATATTTAGCAGTACATTTTTATCTTGACTTTGCTATTTGTGGATGTGATATTAATGTCATATAAAATATTTTGAAAATGTAAAGTGAAAAATTAGCATCTGTAACTCCATTACCCTTATTCAGCCACTGAGTGATTAGGTAGATTGTGGTTTAATTTATCATTTCTCTGTTGTTGAATATTTAGTCATGTTTCTGATCTTTCATTACAATAGGCCCATGGCATTGAAAAGAAATTTGATCTAAGGCTGTTACCATTCCCAAACCCACAAATATCAGTACTTTCTTAGATCTCTTCACTTTTATCACCAGCCAAGTAATAGGCTTGCTATTTTAGGGCCTTTTACTTATAAAAACAATTTTTTAACAAAGATGCTTATTCCCACCCACCCACCCCATTTTAGAAACGTCTGTGCATGTGAGAACTTGTAGAGACCACAAGGAGAAGCTAATGCTGGCAGTCAGGCTCACTCATCAGTTAGTAACATAACTTCCTCACTCACATAGCCGCTTTACATATGCTATGGATCAACCTGTGGTTCTCTCACAAGCTGTTAAAACTACTAGTGTCCAAGCCTCAAATTTTAAATCTCAGATGCCAAACATCTAGAATGTTATAAATAATCTATAGCTTTTTCCATATTTTAAATTATTTTCATAGGCTAGCTTCCCAGAAATGGAATTACTAGGAAAGGACATGGACACTTTTTGTGTCTTGAGATTACTGCCAAATTGCTTTCCAAAAGGGTTGTACCGGTTTTTAATGCCTTCAACAATGATGAAAGTGCCAGTTTCATGGAATTATCATCAACATTCGCTATGTAATTTTTACTCTTAGATGAATGAAGGAAAGTTGATATTTTGCTATATAATGCATTTTTTAAAGTCTTTAACCATAGTATTTTTGAAGGCCCTGTGTGGGGTATTATTACCCTGTGAATCTTTGGTATGGATGTGCACACAAGTGCGTGCGTGCGTTTTCTTTGTGTATGTAAATGTAAAGGGTCTTTTACATACTAGACATGTTAAATGAGAAAAATGAACTACTCTTTCAGGATCTCAGTTTACTTATTTGGAAAGTGGGACTAATAATACCTTTCTTGCTTAATTTGAGATATTATAGAGTACTTTGTAAGCTACACAGTACTATTCATGTCACACGTGTATTTTGTTGAATTTGTGTCTTAAGAAATGTATGTTCCCAGTAACAATTACCCTGAACCACAGGACTTTTTTGATGTTATACTTCAGTAAACCACAGAGGGTCAGTATGAGATTATACTATATCATGCATCAGTTTTTCTGTGGCTTGAATTTCCAAAATATTAAACTCTGCAGAAAAATAAGTACTCTTAATAATCACTAACAGTTGCTGCACTTGGTGTGGCTTGAAAGAAATTTTAGTTTAGACTGTTTAAACTTCCTATCTTTTTACATTGGATTATACAATGCAGTAACATTAGGAGTTTAATTCTTCGAGGGTAAGTGTTAAGGGAGGCAGATAACAGGTACATGGGTGTAACAACTGGAGTGAACTACTCTTTCTCTTGATGTTTTAGTTCCTCACAGAGGTGTGATAATACAGCGTTATTGAGATTATAAATGATTAAAAATGTTGAATTTTAAGATTTTTAAGGAACGTTGTAATTCATTGTTTTGATGTGGAGTAACATTGCCCATCTCATTGTGTTGCTAATAAGGTATCCTGCCTGACTCATTTTGATGAGTACAGAAAGTAACACATGTAATTAGCATATTGAGACTTTATCAATGAATGTGCCTCATTAGGGAATTAGTAATATACATATAAAGCATAATGAATTTTATCTCATATATTAAATAACCTCCCCTAATAATTTATGTGATAATAATTTTTTGTTGTAGATACTGCAAGCCGTGTATTTTAATCTTTGAAATTTCATCCAGAATATGAACAGATAATGACATGTTTCTTTGTCTATAATCTTAAAGGAAATTAGATGTGATAAAAGTCCTCTTTTTCTTAGTTATCTCCTGATTAATAGACACAGGTGAAAAGGATATCTGGTCTTTTTTCTACTCATCATCCTGCAGTGCCTCAGCTTTCCTTCAAATATTGAGCATATGCCAAGAACCATTCTAGACACCATGTGAGCAAAACATACAAATCCTTGACCTCATAAAGCTTATATTTCTGGTTAAGGGGAGACAGATAAGTCTTCAGTAAGAAAGATATTTGAGCAGAGACTAAAGGAAGTTGAGGTCGGGGGTGAGCCATGCAGAGGAGATTGTGCGAGCAGAGGGGATAGCAAGTGAGCGGCCTTGAAGCTGTGGCTTATCTAGTGTGTTTGAGGAGCAGCACAGAGAACAGTGTGACCACAGTGAGTGAGTGAGTGAAGGAGAGAATAATGGATGATGTCAGAGAGGTAATGGGGCCAGATCATGAGGGTCTTGCAGACCATTTTAAGGGCTTGAACATCTCTGAGTGAGATGAGAAACCATTGGAGTATTTAAACTGAGGAGCAATGAGATCTGACTTGTTTTTTTTCCAGTTTTATTGACATATAATTGATATATGTTACTGTATACGATTAAGGTGTACAGCATAATAGTTTGACTTACATATATTGTAAAATGATTACTGCAGTAAGTTTAGTTAGCATCCATCATCCCATAGATACAATAAAAAGAGGAGCTGACTTATTTTTAACAGGACCAATCTGGCTGCTCTACTTGAGAGTAGATTAAAGTGGCAGGGAAGGACAAAATTGGGGAGATCAGTCAAGAGGCTATTGTAATAATCCTGAGATAATAAAGATTGTGGGTTGGACAGGTTTTCAAGGGAACTTCAGAAATTCTCTTTGTCACATGTAAGATGCCTATTATATATTGAAATAGACATGCCAAGGAGATAGTTGGATATCCAGTTTAAAGTTCAGGGAAGAGGTCAAGACTGGAGATATAAATTTGAGAATCTTCATTGTACAGATCTCTGTAAGTAAAGAACACCAACGGAGTGATTGTAGGTAGAAAAGAAAAGAGGTTCAAAAATTGATCACTTGGAGTACTCCAGCATTTAGAGGTTGAGGA